ACAAACTTGGTTACGTACTCATTTTAAACAAAAATGAAACAAAAAATTATTTGGGTCTCTCAATATGTTTAATGGCATTCTGAGATTTTCTCATTCTCTCAATGGCAGTTACTTCGATCATATTTTGTAAGTATGAGTCTTGTAAGTTTTTGTCATCAAAGTCATGTAATGACGTAAACACCGCATTCTTGTCCATTTCCGAAAAATGTTCACAACACTCCTTGTGATAAGTACAATCGATTCCAGTTTTTCGCGTCATAACTTATTTTCCCACGTCATTAATATGGGCTTGTCCTTAAGTTAAACCTTCTTAATAACTTCACTTTTGTACAGGGCCTGATTAATAATACGTTTCTTTCTCTTTCTTTGTTTATTTTCAATAATGACACTGGGTTTACTATCAGAGCTACTCATTTTTGTATAAACTATAAACAATGGAACCTAATCGTACTAAAGATAATTGTCAGGTGGTGTAGGAAACTAGGAAGGTCCGCGACCGTAACCAGTAAATCACATGTCCGACGCGCACAGTTTGTTTCGAAAACGCCACATCTTCGAAGAAGTGACCTTTTTGAAAAAAAACAGAGAAATACTCTTGTCAAGATTAATAGTAACGAACGACAGAGATGTGACGTTTTCACGTGTAATAAACCTTAAAGAATATTCTGAACAAAATGGCGAAGTTAACTCATTTCGTGAAATTAATGAAGATGTGGCCTTTTCAAAATAACCGATTCATTTGTAATGCAATTTTCTACTCACCCTTCTAATCTCACATCCGATAGCGATCTGTTTAGTGATATCATATCACTGGCTAGTAGATTAAATTGATTTAATTTGAACTTCTCTTTCATTAGTGCTTCTTGCTCTGGGGGAACATGTACTGGTTTTCCCATTTCACCTACTCGACCTGAAACGGAAGGTACTACGGGTGCCGGCCGCCATCTTCGCAATGTTTTTACCGAGTATGTCCTGGATACCCCGCTAACACCGTTGTTGATATTTCTGAAAAGAAAAAACGTGTTACTTAGATACAAGATAGCCCTCATGGCATCAATATTCATATAACCTTCAGAAATTATTAACACAACATGTAAAGGTATATAAAAGTTTGTAAAACAGTTATCTTAGTCTTCAGTTGTTTTAAAGTCATAGCTTCTTCTGTTGACTGGAATCACTGCCCACACATTGAATTCTTGATTTTTGGAAACATGAAGAAGTTGTTGGGACTTAGGTCGGAGGTATCGGTGGATGGTTTAACAATTCAATGTTTTGAAGCTCCAAAATGTCTCTATTTTGTCTCTTGGGCAATGTGAGCACTTGCATTGTCCTGATGTAGGATGTTTCGCCGTTGTGTGTTGCTTTTTGGGAGTTTCGCGATAACTTCTGGTAAACAAATGGGTGTATACCAATCAGAAGTAACCATTCTTTGATCTTCTAAAGCAATTGTTGCCACATGACCAGATTTTGACACAAGATTTGTGACCATTTTCTTTGACACACTTCGATAATGGATTATTTTTATTGGTTTTTCCTCATCATCGATTGATTTGCTTTGTTATGTTGGTAACATCTTCACCACCAAACTTATGTTTGTAAAAATTTTGTAGATCAAAATTATATCCACACCTCCATATTCAGTTTTTACATAATGCTCCAAAGATTGTGTGTGATACATATGTGAAACTGGGGTCTATCAATGTTCTATACAGTCTTATAAAAGTTTCTTGAGACAGACATTTGTTATATACATACTTTGATAGACTGTGCCAATATGATCCTCATTTTTATTTCCCCTAGATATATGATGTCTTTGACCGTTTTGAAGTTATGGTCATTGGCAATAAAATCTACTTCAACATTTCCTGTTCTTGTGTTTGGGTTAGTTTTCATCAATCTGATTTTATTTTGATTTATTTGCAATATCATTCAATCTTCTCACCCTGGTTCTTGTTATAACCTCCGTATCATCAGCATATGCTAAAATTGGGACTGATATATTAAATATGGTTCCCCTGGTGTCTATATTAGCATCTCAAATGACTTTTTCAAGACTGTTACAAATTGTGTCTGTCTGCCTGTCCCATATGTGTTTCAAATAAAGTTTTTTAACTGTATCTATTTATTAACAGTACTTATAACCCCAATAACAGTAAAATGCAATAAAGAAAAAATCAGTTAGGTTCCATTATACATAAATCTAGACAGAAATAATAATATTATGAAATTTATGATGTATTAAAAGAAATAGATACATTAAATTAACCATTACAAATATCAAAATTACAGGTATCTATGTTTTTAATTGTTTTCATTCAGAAGGTAAGAGAATATGACTATTCATAATTTTACAAATAAAAGCAGCTCCAGAAATATTCCGCCAAATATTAAATGGTGGTAATGATCTTGTTGCTCAATATTAGTATAATCATGATTAACAATATTATAAGTTTTAAATGCACCTATGGTGAACAGCCTCTAATGTGTCAATATGACATTGAAAGTAGAGTGACCTAACTACACAACAATTTATTCCAAGATGGATCTTACAAGACAACAATAAACTAAGCAATTTCATTAATGGAAAAATACCTATAATTTCTTGTGCCAAACCCAAGTAACTTATGCCTGGTTGCACCAATAGATCTTAAGCTCCAGCTTAGCCAAGCTCTGCTTATAGCTAGGGCTGTCTTAACTCTCACTTATGTTGCACCATAATTTTCGATTCTAAAATATTCTTTATATTCTTAAAAATAAAAATACAAAATTTGGTTGATCGCCGTCGGACGGTTTGGTTGTGATCGGTCGATCAGTCTGAGCTGAGGCCTACCTAAGCACGTCTTAAGCTTAAGATATGTTGGTGCAACCAGGCATTAGAAGAATTTATAAATATAAAGTATATATATTCCACCAAAGAAAGTTTTTCATTTAAAGTAACTTCTAAGTCTTATGGAAGGGACATACTACAGAGATTGATCATCAATGAAATAAGTTGTACCAATCCTCTTCACATTTCAAGTAAAACTGATACAACAATACTTATTAACATTTAAACGAAGACCATTCCTACAACTCCAATTGTATAAACAATCAAGATCAGCTTGTAAAGACAATTGACCTCTAAAATCATCAACAAACATCCAGAATTTCAAGACAACTTAAAAAATAGCTCACAATATTATTAAGGAATAAGTTGAAAAAAAATAGATGATGTGTCCTGAAAGATTAACAGTAACCTTAACTCTGACTATGAACTGACAACAAATTTTGATCCATTCAAAAAACTGAACATGAAATGCCACAGAAAGTAATTGTACAACAAAAATTTGATGATCAACATGATCAAATGCTTTACTGTACCTAATTGGTACATACAGTATCCACTTGCTTTCGCTCCTCAATTTGCTTCATCAGTTCAGACTGACAGTAAACTAAATTAGTAGCTGTACACCTTTTTGCACAAAAACTATGCTGAAACTCTGAGATATGTCCACTGCACAAACAAGATAGCTCTTAAGTTATCAAGCTATCAAACAATTTACCTAAGTATTGTAATCTGAAAGCATACTACATTTGAATATTGGCACAACTAAACTCTCTTTTCAAACATCAGGAAATAGATATAAAGGTCCAAAGAGAATTTAGACAATTAAAAATATCAATGAGAGTGATTTCAGAGATACTATACTTTTGCTAACATTGCTATTAATGAGAATATTATGGGGAATTATCTGAAGGTTTTTAACCCCAGCAGTATACACAATTTGAAAAAATTCCTTGAACAAATTATGTGACTGATCCCTGTAAAACATAGAATTTGGCCAAACTGTGACCAGTATGTTTATCATTAACATATTTCCAAAATAATTTATGACAGTTTTTCAACACAGCACTTATACCTGTAACTTATTAATTAATGCGTATAACTGATCTTAAGAGAATATTAGAACAAATTTCATAAAATATATTAGTTGAAACATTAATCTCATTGTGAGTCAAGTAATCCTGTCTATTAATAGAGGCCAAAAAGTTATTAAGTTCAGTGTAACTGCCATTTTTTAAATCATAAAAAAAATTCCTCATAAGCTAGTCTTGATGAATTAGATATATTTGAGATTGTTAAACAACATTCATAGGCAATATGACATAAACTTGAGTTCAATATAGGATCAGAAGCTTTTAAAACATTTAGTTCCCTATAGCTGGAGAAATCCAAATTCAAAATACATTTCTCTCATTTGATAGATTGACATTGATAACATTTTAGATAATTAAGTGTTTGAGAAACAAAGACAGCTGTATCTCCTCCTGGACAATGAACCAATACACTTGACACCCATAAACCTGTCACAAAATGTAAAGCTATTTAATGCAATCTTCAATCATAGAAAGTTAAGTTGATGTTTGATCTATATATCTACTAATATCAAAACAATAAATATATTACTGGTTAAATCAAAATTAAATGTGGATCACAAGGAAGTCTACAATATATTTAAAGTAGAATCCAAACTTGTAGATCTGTTGAAGATTAATATGAACTTCATACAAATAGCACCAACCAAAATTAGGCATATAAGAAACTTGGCCAGCGAGCATGGCATAAGCCTAGTTGAGAAAACTAGGATTAGATACACTGAAAAATAAAAGAAAGACAAAAAGCTATGTGAAACATGTTAGAAGATCAGAAAAGCAATCAAAAATAAAAAGTGAAATAAAATTGATAGAAAAATTAAGGACTATAATAACAACCTTATTATTCAAAAGGTAGGAATATAAGAACTAGGAGGACATAAAACTGAAAAGCTGAGAAAAGAAATTTTAAATGATCAATAAATTTATAATTTTTTAGTTAATGCATTTCTTCTATGATTAAACAAAAGTATATTTCTAAAAAAATTGAAGAAACAAATATCAGATATATTCTAAAGAACATCGCTTCCTTAATAAATCTTGTGGAAACACTTTAAGATCAAAATATGAGGAAGTAAAGTACTCACCCTTCTTGAGGTTCATTTAAGGTATCTTCCTGATCTTTTTCATTGAAAATAGGATCTTCTACTAAAGCCTCTGCATGTATATTATCAACCTTTTTACAACCACCTCCTATACAGTCGGAATAAAAGGAGAGTACCACTACATCTACCAAAAACCAGACTAAGGAGGTTATGAGGATAACCCTGCATGTATGGATTCTTAGTTTGCCGTATAACATTTTTTATTAACTTATTCAGTCCTGCACATCACACTTTTTTCCGTTAAGAAGTATCACAGATTCTGTTATTAAAAAGAAAAAAATGTACTCAACGTCAAGAAAATGTAACATAAACATCCACGAAAAATTATTGTTTATATAAAAGTATATTTAAATGCACTTGTACATAGTCTATCAACTAAAAATGAGATCGTTTATGTTAGTTATTTGTTTAATTATCGCTCGCTTCATTTTCACATACGACCTAACATTTTACTCGGAAAAATTGTACATTTACACGTCGCACATTCTGCGAAACCACATATCTGACATCTGTCAGAAATTAAGAATGCTAAAAATTTAGGGAAGGGATATGGATTGGTCTTCTGTTCCTGTGCATTGACAAGTTGAAAAAATAGTTGAATTATGATAAACTAATAATGGTTGTTATTAAATTATATATTCGTTAAAAAGAGAAGTGTATTCTAATTTTCATAAACTTGTTTGCTTGTTTAATTGATTATTCCACAGTATTATTCGTAAATACTTACCCTATTAGCAGGCAACCAATATTGCATTATGTAAAATACTAATACTATAATACCAATGAAAAACTATATTTTATCGAATACAATTTGTTATTTATAACTGTCATGAAGTAAATAATATGATTAACTAGCTGCAAAATAACGCGAATAATATTAAACTTCGCACATATTACTGTTATAACAGTCTTATAATATAATAATCATATTGGGGGATAGCATGTGATAACCCGGTAATAGCAGGTAGAATGAAGGAATAGTAATACTAGTCGATCTGTATATTAAATGTAGGCAGACAAGTAAAATTGTTGTTAATGTTTTTAAAAATGTTAACTATCTGTTCAACATGAACTGGCTAAATACCATTGACGAGACCTTCACGATTGACAACTACAGAAGAAGCTTTGAAAAGGGTACAGTTGATCTGTCAAAACTACACAACTTGCTTTATATTGCACAAGATTAATTAATTTTTTTGAAAACAGCTTTAATACAGTATTTTATTCTTATCACAACCAAAGTAACATTACACAAAACAACATGTCGTGTCCATGGGCCAAAATTGAGAAACCAGAACCAGTAAATCTGGAAGAAATAATGTCTGAAGAAGTCGCCAGAGAACTCCAAGCCAAAGAAGACAAAAAACTTAATCGAGAAGTTAACGAACAGTTAGAAAATGCTGAACAATTACCTACTGATATTCCTTCTGATATTTTAAAAGCTCTGTCTGATAATGCGTTTGATAGCGATGAAACCATCGCGAAGATGCTCCAGATGCAGTATGATAAGGAGTATGATGATCAATTGAAGAGAACGGAAGAAAAGTTTAATGGGTCTTCGAAAGTGTCGATATCATTTGATAATTATAGAAGAGCTCCTCTCAATGAGGGTAAGTTGTCATAGTCTATTTATGCCTATAAAGATGTATCTAACATAAACCATTTTTTGATACAAAAAGTTGTATTTATGTGAAATAAGTATTAATATAATTTAGGCAAAGAATATATTTTTTGATTTAGGTTTGACTTATTGATTTGTAGATTTCATTAGTGATTCGGAAGAAGAAGAAATTGTAGATGTCAGAGATAGAAAATTCTGGGATCGATTTGAAAGTTTAGAACGTGAATTTGCTTCAATACCACAGTGTGGTTATAAAGTTCAACCAGATGGACAGATGGTAACAAAACATGATGTAGTAATGAGTGGAAGGAAGAACGCTTGTAAGCTGTTGTCATTTCCACCTGAATTTCAAACAGGAGATGGAGAAAATTTTGATTTGAAGTTATCTAATAAAGTTTTTAATAGGTACGTATATATTTTTATATAGCTTTCTTATTCTTTATGGCATAAGAACATTTTTAAGCTTTTTATGATTGCTGTAATTGTTTTTACAATATTCAATATTATTGTATAATATTTTAGTTTAAAGATGTACTCTAAGCATGAACAGGCTAGAAGACACAAGGTGCATGATAAAAAAGAAGACCAAGCCACTGCTGAATTTGGTGTGGATGAGTTTACTCGTCTTCTACTGTATAAGATGATCAACAATCAACTTTTAGAAAGGGTTAATGGTGTCATTAGTATAGGTAAGTTTAATACCAAACATTTAGCTCTGTAAAAAACATATCTGTTTCTTTTATTCACTTATGTTCATGTTCACAATGTTGTATCTGCAAATAAAAAATGGTTTTTTCTTCACATTTTCATCTTTTAGTGATAGCACTATAGTATTAGTACAGTTTTCTATAATGTTCTGTAACAAGGCTTTATATTTCTCACAAATTGTGCTTTTTATTATTCATATAATCTTTTATTGAGTTCAAGCTTTTATCTGCGTATATCTTTAGATCAAAAATTTAAAAAAAAAATTGGCTAGAAACCTCAATTAAAGTGATTTTTACCTATAATATTAATTTTCCTGAAATTCTTGGTTTGTACAGCTTTATATTTCACATGATAATGCTGTAAAATGTTCCTTCCAAATTTGTTTCAATAGCTTTATCCAATTTTGGTAGCATTGAGTTAACAATTCTCGTTTTAAAATGTCAGTGTCAAAGTTTTAAAAACTTATGATTTGTAGGTAAAGAAGCAGTAATTCTCCATGCAGATTCAGACCCTTCATTCCCATTTGACTCTAACTTACCAAAAGAATGTGTGATAAAAATCTTTAAGACTACACTCTCTGAATTCAAACAAAGGGATAAGTACATCAAGGATGACCACAGATTCAAGGACAGGATAGGAAAACAAACTGCTAGGAAGACTGTATATATTTGGGCTGAAAAGGAAATGGCCAACTTGATGAGACTTCAGAAAGCAGAAATACCTTGCCCAAAAGTAGTGACACTTAAGAATCATTTGTTAGTGATGTCTTTTATAGGAGAAAACCACAGGCCTGCTCCAAAATTGAAGGATGCTGTCATGTCAGATGCTGATTACATAATTGCTTATGAACAGGTACTATATTTTTGCATAATACAAATGAATCCTATCAAATAATATTTAGGGATAGTCTAAAATGATCGTAGCTATTAAAAAATAGACAAAAGGTTTGAAAAGTTACAAGATGAAATAAAGGATATATAATAAAAGATAGTTTAACTTGGTTCGTGGTTATCTACTTATATTTATTTTGTTATCATCCTTACTTGATGAGTACAAATGATGGTAATTTGTATGGGTAAATTATTGATGCATAGTGGAATATAAATATTTCTAGCATCGCTCTTATTGGCTTGATTAAGCTTGGGTTAACAGTTTACTTTGATTGCTATCGACATGTCACTTCATATTTCCTCACTAGAGGTCGCTAGTAGCATACTCTGGTAATTATTTTTCCCATAATTGCTATAGTAGTCAGTCAGTGTGGTTTGGTTTGAGTCTTCTTAGGAGTCTCTCTGATGAGGGGTAGATCCAGAAACATGTGTTAGAAAATGGTAAAAGATTCTAATTAAATGGAAAGGCAACCTTCTATGTTTATTTATATAGTTTAACTTGCTTAGCCTCATGTGCACCACACTGGTGAAGAGCATGTTTTTACTACTGACAGTACTGACCATGTGTACCAATTTGGCCCACAGTTTTATCAGAGAACTACGAACGCAGAGAAGCGACACTCCTTTGATCTTGCGTGGGCAAGCCGCCAACGAGTGAAAATGACAGGAAAGCACCTTATTTTTTAATAGTCAGTGGGCATATTACACAATATAAATTCTTAAATAAAATTGAGCATTTATGTTGACTTTCAATCTTTTTCTTTTATTGTTTTTGACGATAAGATTATCTTCAAAATGTAGTTCACAAATCTTATAACTAGTAAGCATATCCATTTTTAACAATAAATCTTCTCGTCTACAAGCTTCTATCCACCTTTTGGCACTACAAATTTTTAACAGAACAAATTTTAAACAAAGAACTTTTTGTATTTATAAATAATACTTCATTACTTACAACTATAAGAGTATTAGTATATTTTAAGTGTATTGTAAATAATGAAGTATTTAACTTTTGTCAATATCTCATCTTAATAAATTTACAGTTTTCTCCTGATTAAGTCACAAAATTGTCACTAAATATTGAGATATACAACAAATAAAGTTTTAATATTTTTTATTTGTAATTCCCATTTAAATATTTATTCCCGAAATATGTTGTGTACTCCGATCCATATATTTGATCTTTGTTATTTATATTTAACGAATTAAACATTGACAGACAACTTTTGTATATAGCAAAAAGTAGATGAGTATTTAGTTTTTTCATAATTTAATGTAAGTTTGTTTGGTGAAAAAGACAGCAAATATTTGAAGTTATGTTAATGTAAGTTTGTTTATTTGCAATCATGTTTTTATTTTGAAATCTTGTTCTGTTGTAATTTTAATATTTCCCAATTGTGTTTATCGTATTATATTGAAATTTGGAAGGTACTGCGTCATGCACCAATGTTTTTCTTTTATTTTTTTTTTTTGACAATAAGATTATCTTCACAATGTAGTTCACAAATCCTATAACTATTATAAAGTATATCCATTTTTAACAATAAATCTTCTCGTCTGCAAGCTTCTATCCACATTTTGGCTACAAATTTTTAACAGAACAAATTTTAAACAAAGAATTTTTTGTATTTATAAATAATACTTCATTACTTACAACTATAAGAGTATTAGTATATTTTAAGTGTATTGTAAGTAATGAAGTATTTAACTTTTGTCAATATCTCATCTTAATAAATTTACAGTTTTCTCCTAATTAAGTCTCAAAATTGTCACTAAATATTGAGATATACAATAAATAAAGTTTTAATATTTTTTATTTGTAATTCCCATTTAAATATTTATTCCCTAAATATGTTGTGTACTCCGATCCATATATTTGATCTTTGTTATTTATATTTAACGAATTAAACATTGACAGACAACTTTTGTATATAGCAAAAAGTAGATGAGCATTTAGTTTTTTCATAATTTAATGTAAGTTTGTTTGTTGAAAAAGACAGCAAATATTTGAAGTTATGTTAATGTAAGTTTGTTTATTTGCAATCATGTTTTTATTTTGAAGTCTTGTTCTGTTATAATTTTAAGATTTTCCCAATTTTCGATCCAATTATGTTTCCAACAATTGAGCATTTTAGGAATTTCTTTGTTTCGTTTAAATCAAATATTCTCGTGTATAAAACCCTCTATATATTTTGATTTCCTAAAAATACTATATTCGTCTGCGAGCGCTTTCACACCAGTAGGCCAACATCTGTGTTGATTTTTTGACCTGAGCCTTCGGAGACAATAAATTTAATGTGTGTTCGTAGTTCTCTGGTTTTTATTCTGAACTATCCCTTGGCAAACCAAAATTTATTTTTTTATTGCTTCACTTAACGAGAGCCCGGGCGGACACGTCGGTGTCGGCTTACTCAAAGTCAAATTAATACTATTATGTAATAACTAATAATAATTACAAAGCAATAGTAATTAACTGTTATTATTCTTAGGAAATCTAAATAAACTTATTCCTTTTCCTGTCACAGATGAACATCCGCGAAACGCAGAACAATAACCAGAAGACATTTTAAATACTTATAAATTAAACTTTTAACTATAAACTATAACTATAAACTTATATATTTAACTTATATATTTTAACTATAACTATAAACTATAAATATAAACTTTTAACTACTAAATAATTAGATAAATGGTCAAATGCACTTGTATAGTCGAGAGTTTACCACAGATGCCTACGGACTATCGTAAGCAACTTAAAGTTGAAGAAAACGCACGTGTTTTTGACAGTAAAGCACCTTATTTGGGTCATGCGTATACAGAAAAGATACACGAATTCCGGGCCTCGTGTCGCTTCTCTGTGTTCGTATGTTCTCTGGTTTTATTGTGTTTAAATGTGGCCACTGTATCTTTGGTCTGAGACAAAAGAAGTGTATGAATGCTTTGAGGCTAAACATGTTAATATATTGTCTAACAACAAAAATTTAAATTAACATCTAAGCCTTAGACAAGGGCATCTCAAACTTATTTGTACTGTGCCACCCTTGGGACTTTGTCATTATTTTATGACATCCCTCAATCCAGCACCTAAACATATTTACCAATTTTAGTTTTTATTTAAATATTTATCTAACTGGCTGACTAATGAGAAGTATGTATTACTTTTCTGAACATAACTTCTTGTCTATTACTGCAACTACAGAAAAGCCTGTTTTGCACAAATACAAAGTTGCAAAATGTTTAATACAGTGCTGATGGTACAATATTTATGGGAAATTGAGCTACAAAATTCAAACATTTTGTCCTTAATATATTGAATTTTTAGGCTGGAATCAGAGATCTACTCTATTAGTTGTTCTTCTTCCAGTGTTGAAGGTGTTGATAGTGTGAGTGACTAGAAATCCATGTTGCTCCAGATTATTAGGAAAATATTTTTTATAGTGTTCTCTTAACATTATTAAAGGGAGATCAAGGATATCTATGAGTTTTTCTTGTTAAGCAGGGAAACAGTCAATTACTTGATTTTCTAATTTTCTCTTTCATAAGAGCAACTGCTGAAAACGAAGCTTTAAATTCTTCACAAAGCTTATGGAAAAGTCTTGATTTCACAGGTAGTGTCTTAAGGTAGTTCTCCACTTTAATAATGCTATACATCACAAAACCTAATTAAGGTGTAATGTTTTTTGCTGCTAAGGACCCTGTATCTTTAATAAATGTGTTCATTTTTCACTTGTAGCCTTATTTTTTATACAAGAGCTTGTAATCCTCCCTACTGTCCAGACATCACTTAGGCATTTGAATTGAAAATCTTAAATAAATCAGTAGCTTTACCAGTTTCACATATTTTTTTGAAAAACAACAAATCTTCACATACATTTTCTTGTATGTAACACTTCAATGGAGCATTGTATTTACTATCAGTGGCCTTATCCAGTTGAATGGCAAATAAATCTGTAAGTTCCCCCACAATTTGCTCACTAATATCTTCTATTATTTCGTGAATATGGCAACTAATTGTATTGTTTGAAAGAGGTACATTTTTTATTTCTTTAGCTGTTCTTTATCTAATCATTACTGATACCATATCAACTGCTGATGATAAGATGAATTCCTCAGTAATAATATGTGGTTTCTTAAATTTGGCAACACAATGTAGGAGGTGAGCAATGCTTTTTTTTACTTAAGTCTCTGCTTACCTTTTAAATAAGTGAAAGCCGTGTCTTAGATAATATTTTAAAGATCTAATATTTTTACCACCCAAGTTAGTTAAGTTGACCCAACTAACAATGCAAAACATAAGCTCATGCTTTAGAATTAGAGAAGAAAACTCTACATTCTTTGATATTAACAATGGTCTAAGATAGGCGAACACTCTGGCATGTCTCCTCCTGTTTTTCTCCTGGTACATTATTTTATTTTATTTACTTAAATAATATCTTTCCATGTTTGGTTGATGCTATAAATAATTACTGGACTTTTAACTTATTGAAGCAACTTCTGTTTAATTTTTTAGGTTACCGGAAATATGAAGGCTCTCTATGACAAGGCAAATTTAATACATGCTGATCTATCAGAATATAACATCTTATGGTACCAAGACCAATGCTATTTTATTGATGTCAGTCAATCTGTAGAACCTAGCCATGAAAATGCATTCCACTTTTTGTACAGAGATTGTACGAATGTGACAAAAGTATGTAATATGTTTATTATTTTTTGTAAATCTAAAATACTCTATTTGATAGTTGTGAATGTATATATTCAGTATGCTTTATCTGTTGTTCTCTCTTGATGGAAAATGATGAAAAAAATGCAGTTGATGGAAAAATGTAATTTACTGGTATCTCAAAATAAGTACACTAAAAACGAAATTGCACATAGACATACTAATTTTCAGATCTGTATATATATTTTCAGATAAAAAAGATCTGTATAGGTACTTCTAATATGTTTGCTCAATCCTAATTGTTGTTCTATATTGTGTTTTGATATTGTTGATACTTATTTTTCTTCTATTTCTTACCAAAAATAGTTATTATTAGCATAAATTACTTTTTAATAAAAGGAAAGACAATTAAGATTTGATTTCATGTATAGTGTGTCTGTATATCCGCTTATATGTATATCATCCTAAAAGGAATCTTCGGAGCGGCTATTTACAGACACTCTGAACGTGAAAACAATATTTCCTGTCGTAATAGAAGTATAAATATAAATATAACACTAAAATGGCTTCGATATGGACGCAATAGCGACATCTGATAATAAATCCGGAAACTAATTGTCGAAACCAAATTCAGATTTCTGCTTTAATCTGTGCCTTATAAGAATTGCAAGGCAAAACTGACGTTGATAAAGAGTATACCGAAATGAAGTACTTTTTAATTTTTATTTTTTCCAACTGTATTTTATTGTTTTTCGGCTTTTCTGCTTTTGCCATAAGTAAATATTTTTTTTTGTGTTTTAGTTCTTTTCAAAGAAGGATGTACCAGATGTTGCTACCCCTGACGAATTATTTACTTCCATAACAGGCTGTGATTTTAGAGACCAAATTGCTCTCGCTAATATAAGAGAATCCTTCAAAATGAAACCACATCTAGTTGATAAACCCGGAATAGAACTAAGTTACAATTTTAACACTGCTTGGGAGAAAACGAAAGTAGGAGAAATTTCTCCTGTAGTATCGGAAGTAGATTTGAGTATTAAGAAGGTCATATCTGCTATACCAGATGATATTTCTTTGGTGGAACCACCTAAAGCGTAATTTTTGATTTGGTTTAGGGAGGAAATAGAAAAAACAAAAAGGAATTTACCATCTAGACGTTGATACATATTTTTAAATATTGTGTGAATACTAGTTTGTTTTTTTTTTGCAATAAAAGGGATTTTAACAATTTATTTACCAATTGTCATTTTTTCCAATATTTGTTAATATTATGTTGTTACATATTTTGCCTGGCAAATAGGTCCCGAGTCTAAACACGAGTAATGAATTATTCACATGACATTTCGCCAGTGTTAACCTTCAAAAGTATGCTGTCAAAATCAAGTCGAAATGTCATGTCACTGGGATTATTATTTACCATCAAGTTAAAATCTGTGGAGAGGGCATCACTTCGACCATATTGGTATGATCGTTTTGACAGATCGTGTATGATTGTTTACGTTTGTTGTTTTTCGAATATTTTTAGTTTTATAATACTTTTATAGAAACTTATATTGTGGTGCATAATAATGGATTCTTGTTCTCAACAAAGATACAGTAACAGAAGCAATGTTAATAAAAAATCTTTAGGAATAACGTTCCACCGGTTAGTATACAAATATGTAAACAAAGTAATGGCCCGTACTTAAGAGAATAAATCAATAGTATTCATAAGAAATCTTATAAATGTCCAAACTGAGCAATGGCCCAAAAATGTTACCGGGACTCTGCTCCATTGATTACAGTTACTAAACGATGATTTGCAAAATTTAAACGCAGTCACCAATAATGCTGAACGTTCTGGTGGAAGGCCATATGAAAATCGAAAAAAAGGTGAAGGTCATGGAAAACCACAAAGTGAAGTTGCTTGTTATCGCTAACACTATAAAGTTATTAAACGGTAGCGCTTTTATATGTATTATACATGTACATTTGGATATAAGGAAGTTGTTTTCTAAACTGGTACCGCGTTTTCTAACACCAGAGCAAAAACAGCAACGAATTAATGAGTATCTGCGCAGGTTTGACAGTTTATACGAAGTAAAGATCGATTCAGACACATCAGTCCCGTCATAGTCTCGGCGCCGAACCGGTCCTGTTTGGTCACAGAACTATCAACTATCTGACAGCTCGGTAACTGTTTGTCAACTGATGAGTGTGAATGCCGGCAACATATTTGTATTAAAGAATATTTTGTATGACGGATTGTTCGGTTCGGCGCAATCACTGTGACGAGACGTGACTGATGTGTTTGAATCGACCTTTAGATTCGAGTTGTTGTCTCGGTATGCCCACAATGGACTTCGGATACAAATCGGCAGTCAAATGAGTGAACAGCACCCAGAGAAAGTTTGGACTCTGTATTTTGGGATCTTTATTATTCTTTTAAAATAGTATAAAATAACTAAATGTAATTTTGTCTCGACCTTTAGTTTCTGCAAAGAGTACGACCCTTCATCGAAAAATGGTGTCGGCCATAAATATCTACATCTACTAACCTCGGTTTATACCTTTATAAATTTTAAGGCAAAAGTATAGAGAAAGTGCTGATGAATTTGGCATAAAAGTCATTTCAAATTTGTGTTTGCGGTATTGCCATGTCCTTATTATGTGTATGTTTTATGCCTCAAATATGCTTTAAAACAGTACATTTTTATTATATTATTTTATGAAATCGGGTATTTTTTAAAAATTTTTAAATTTATATGAAACACGAACGAATGAATATTTGTTTCTTTTGATATTAGTTGCAGTTAGTTATTAGAAAAAAAAATTATAATTGGCCTTTGGTAGATTAGTAAATAAACATGGCAATACTGTCAAAGGTAGTTGCCAGATTGCAACAGATGTTTAGCAGATTTCAATTTTATGAATATTTTCTTATAATTTTGGGATGAAATGGTATCTGAGTAAAAGCTTAAAAAATTAAAATGAATTTAAGTTATAATAAATTAAATTTAAATTAATTAAACTTCTTTTAAAAACTTTAAAAGAATGTTTAGTAACTTTAATTAATATTTATATTGCATGCTCTTTCGTGATTTATTTCCGATATGGCAACACTGCCAAATACAAATCTGTCACTAATTTGTAGCTAACTTCATCGGGTGTCTATACTTCTGCCAATTTTAAAATTTCTTTATATTGCACAATAATGACTAATATTTTTATTTCTATTATGAAAACAACTCGAAATCAGTGAGGGTAGAGTAGAGGTGTGTGATGTGAACATAGTATTTATTGTCATTAGAACTTGATTGTTCTTAGTTTTGTATTAGCATAGTATCACGTTATCACCTAGTAATCCTAGTATTCAAAGTATTAGTGCCCAAAGCAGTATGACGTCTCCATGGGCAAAAATTGAGCAACCTGATCCAGTAAATCTGGAAGAAATCCTATCTGAAGAGGTAGCCAGACAACTGCAAATAAAAAAATACAAAAACATGACCCAAAAGAATAAGGAAGACTTAAAAACTGCAGTAGAATTACCTGATAGTCTGAAAACTGTGTTTGATAATATTTGTGATAGTGAAGAAACTTTGGTCAGGATGCCGAAGACCCATAATGATGACCAATCCCATAAAGTAAAATTAAATAAATCTACATTGCTTTATAACTGTGGAGAAAATTCTATTAATGATGGTAAGTTGTAAATTACTTAATACTCAATCTATTAAGCCAGGATACCATTTTAAAAGTTGCTGTAATCCTTCTCCTTTATTCCTAGATTTCGTCAGTGATTCTGATAATGAAGAAGAAATTTTAGATGCTAATGAAAGAAAATTCTGGGATAGATTTGAAAATTTAGAACCCGAATTGGATTTAAAACTACAGTGTCTTGACAAAGTTCCACATAAAAAATATATGAATGAAGACACTAATGATTATGAAGTGATGAGTGAAATACAAAGAGTCTGTAGATTGAAAATATTTCCACGTAAGCAGTCAGGGAAAACCAGTAAAACTATCGAATGCTGTCCAGAAAAGTTAACATACTCTATACTTTATAAAATGATAGAAAAACAACTTTTGAAAAGCATTAATGGTATTATTGGTGAAGGTAAGTGTAGTATGACAAATTTCGATTTTGAAAAAACAATTTTATTCAAATTTACTGATTAGTTGAATATTTAATGTATAATATTCTAAGTACTAATAATTTTTAATTTTACATCATATACAATTATTCATCATTTTGTCATATCTTGTTATTCTTTTTAGACTTTTTAACATTAAGAGTCATTTTTGAGTGATTAAATCATTGAATAACAGATCTTACATCATCTTGCAATTTGACTGCATCTTTCTTATTAGCATCATCAGCATACATTAAGCTGTTACAAAATTTAATACAGTCTGGCAAGTCGTTAATAAATAAAATGAAGAGCAATGGTCCTAGTTTGCTCCCCTATGGGACTTGTGATAATGACACATATTGGTGAGAAAAGCAATTACAGTGGAACCTCGATTATCCGTCAGGGCACCGGACCAAGAGTATGACGGATAATCGAAAAGACAGTTAACAGAATAGAATTCATAGTATAATTCAAATTTTATTTGTTTGTTTTATTGACAATATAAGAGGGATTTAGTAATACTAAATAAAACTAACAAATCTTTGTTAGTTTATTGTTACTTCACATTTTGCAGCGGCTGAATTTCTTAATTGACGTAAAATCATCAAATTTACCTTATTTGCTTCTTCTTGCCGAGAATACCACTTGATAAATTGTTGTATGTGCGATTCAGCTTCTCTAGCTTTACGCAAATCTTTGTGAGTTGTAATAGCATCATCAACATTGCCACCATCAAAGTCTCTGTTAGCTTCTGAATCAGTTTCGTCCGCCTCTGTTGCCATTTCAACGATTTCATCATCTGTCAGCAATCGATAGCTGTTTGCGTCCTTATCACAAATTAACCATTCGTTTATGTCATCTTTAGGCAACGAAAACAAAACAGTTGATTCAACCATATCTTCATTTAAGGGGAGTATTTTCATCTAACTTGATTCAGGCTATAATTTATTCCACGCTCTGTTCAACGTTACTTCCGAAACATCAGCCCAAGCATCCACAGCATTGTCGACTGCATGTTTTAAATTGTATGCTTTCCAGTATTTTGGCAAAGAATATTCCTCTTTCATAACTAGTTTTTGAATAAATTTTTTTCTGTATCTTCCTTTGAATGTTTTAATGACCGAATGATCCATTGTCTGTATCAATGATGTTGTATTCGCAGGCAGAAAAGAGTACGTGATTTTTTATTGTCACTCCGCAGCATACCGGCTTTAGGATGGGCAGGTGCATTGTCCAAAATGAGAATCGTCTTTGGTGGAGAATTTTTTGCAAACAAAATGAATTGATGAGTAAATTTTTACTTATGTTGTCAATATACCTTATGTATGGACCCTGACGGTTAACAGAGGTGACGGTTAATAGAGAGACAGATAATCGAGGTTCCACTGTATTTGCTTTTACTGTATTCTTTCTATCTGACAAATAAGATTTTAATAAATTAAAAGCTTTTCATGTGAAACCAACCTGTACCAGTTTATTTAAAAGAATACAGTGATTTACCTTATCAAATACTTTTTCGCAATCAGTATACCTACAGAACGTCCAACTATTCCCCTGCCTCGATAGCCTTAGCAATATGTTCAGAGAGAACACAGAGATTAGTTATTGTTGATTTGTCTCTTACAAAACCATGCTGGAATTTGCTGATTTTACTCTTAACATGCTTATAACATATCATCATAAAGAATAATTTCCTAAATCTTAGCAATACTATTTAACAGGCTGATAGACCTGTAGTTTTGAATGTCATTTTTTTAAACTTTTTATGTGTTGGAGAAATTATTGCCACTTTTAAAATATCTGAAAAATATTCCTGTTGAATCAACATATTAAACAAAAACGCCAGAGGTTTAGCCAAGGGTTCAGCTTATTCCCTTATATAATAGGGTGGTATATCATCAGGTCCTGTCAATTTTTTGGGTTTAAGTTTTTTAATACTATTTACAGTATTACTTTTTATTCAGTGATATATTTAAAGGTAAAAGAACCCCACTCAGTACTGTGAAAATGACAATGTGTGCAGTCAGATCTATCATACACTGATGCAAAATATTTAGCAAAGGCACTCGCAAATATATTATATGGGACTAGCTTACCCAGCAAACTTCAAATGGCCTTAAAATTAATTAATATTTTGTAAAAAGTTAAAGTTCTATAACAATTGAGCTAATACATGTGGCAAAAGCTATAATCTAACAAATGATTTTTAGGTAGGGAATCAATAATCCTTCATGCCAATTCAGATCCCTCGTCCTTGTTGGATTCCAACTTGCCTAAAGAATGTGCCATAAAAGTCTATAAAACAATTCTATCTGACTTAAAAAAAAGTGAAAATTTTTATGAATCAGATCATATATTTCCAAACAGAAAAGGAGGACGAGCTTCTGAAAGGATTAGAAGTATTTGGGCTGAGAAGGAAATGATCAACCAGATTCTAATGCAAGAGGCTGTAATACCTTGCCCAAAAGTAGAAACACTTGGAAAACATGAAGGACAAGTTTCCACAAGGAATATACATATTTGGGCTGAGAAGGAAATGACCAACCTGATGTTAATGCAAGAGGCTGGAATACCTTGCCCAAAAGTAGTAACACTTCGAAAAAATGTATTGGTGATGGAGTTTATTGGAAAAAACCAGATACCTGCTCCAACATTAAAGATTGCTAGAAATTTGAAATGCATTGATTGGAGAAATGCTTATGAACAGGTAATGTATTGCTATATATTGTAACATGTAATCAATTTTAGCTTTAATTTAGTGAATAACAATAAATATAATATATCAATGGTTAACTATAAAAACCTTAAGTCAAAATTTACAACTTTAGGAGAGCAAAAAAACTTCTAGTACCTACATATTTTTTCTTTTTGAGGATTTATTTAAAAATTACTTTGGAAATAACATACCAAAACATAGTTTTCATGAATCTGGGGTTTTGCTAGAACATTTGAACAATATTTTGAATCCAAATCCTCATTAAAAACGTCCAATTTTTGACTTATTAGATTTTTACATTTAACTGTCAATGTACAAATTTGAAAAAATTTTTGTAATGTTATTTAATTGTATTGTAAGTCTAACAATATTCTTTTAGGTGATTGATTATATGAAAATTCTTTTTAACAAGGTAAATTTGGTACATACGGATCTAAATGAAGATAATATCTTATGGTATGAAGACAAATGCTATTTTATTGATGTCAGTAAATGTGTAGAGAACAGCCATGAAAAAGCAATATTATGTTTATATAGAGATTGTATCAATATCGCAGATGTAAGTAGTGGTAATTTTCCTCACTGTTTGTGGGAAAAAAAATGGATAGTTTACACAAAAATAACATAATCATCAAAAATAATATAATGTTTTTTTTTAGATTTTTTCCAAGAGAGATGTGGCCAGAAAGATACCGGATGTGGCCACACCAAGTGAGCTGTTTATTTATATAACAGGCTTTGATTTTCATGATAGGGTTACTCTTCCTGAAATAGGAGAATCTTTATAGTAACGTTAGAAGTGTCTTTAAATTTTATTGTTTGGCTGTGAAAGTGCTCTTGTAATTATTTTTTACCTGAAAAGCTATTTATTAATTTTGTTTCATATATTTTGCATTTTTAATTTTATGTATTTTATCCCAGTAAGCACAAGTATGTACCTAAGACAAACTAAATACATACTGATGGGACATAAAGTATGTACAATGTATGTACTTTGCTGCACAAAGTATACATAATAACAACAACAACATACATAAGACATACTTTTTCCAATTGATGGTACATACCTAGTACATACTATATATACATATTATGTACATATGTTACACACTTATGATGATTTATGTAAATAAAAGTAAATATAGGTGAAATATATCTTTATTTTTTTAAAAAATCAATTCAATTTTTATTCTGATTCCTTTTCCTTGAAAGTTTTTAAGCGATCCCGGCGCTCCTCACCATCGTCCAATTTCTTACTGGGCCACCTTCTTATCACTACATTTTTGATTAAAAAACACTGGACTGAATAAGATAACAAGAAACCACACTATAAGCACCAACACCAAAAATAAGTGAAAAAAAAACTAAATGAAATGAAACTGTCTAAAGCTCGATTCACACACATCAGTCACGTCTCGTCAAAGTCCTGGCGCCGAACCAAACAATCCGTCATGGTGCCGGCATTCACATTCATCAGGCGACGAACAGTTTCCCAGCTGTCAGATAGTTGATAGTTTCTGTGACCAAACAGGACCGGTTCGGCGCCGAGACTGTGACGGGACTGATGTGTCCGAATCGACCTTTACAATGAATTATCGGAGGATTTTCACATTTGGTTCCATTGACGATAGCTTCAAATGAGTTTGACAGAATGAAATATTGGTGTTTCGCAGTGTTGAAATTTACAAACGAAACATACGCAATTAAAAGCAATAAGATATTTAAAAACTAATATTTAACGATTACGAAAAAAAGAAAAAGCAAATAGTTTTTAACAGTAAATAGTAAAATGTCAGAATTTAAAAGGCAGCTGTGGTTTGAGGGTTTTGACCATCGAGCAATAAGACAAAAGAGGGAATCTAATCCTTATGAAAAGGAGACCAAAAAAGTGGCCTCTGATGGCGGACATATCCGGAAATGCGAATGCGCGAAATTTAAATTTTCCGACACTTATCAACAGTAGCTATATAATATTTTTCAGAATGTGTCTTAGACGAGAAAGTTTTAATTAATTATTAATGATAAGAGTCTAAAATGCGACACAATTGTTAAAAAACTTCAATATAAATAAGATTTCATGTGACATTTAGGACAAACAATAACATAACCAAACTAAATTTGATGTCAAACAAGGAAAGAAACTGTCTTTCCTTGTTTAAAGTGGCCTCTAAAGATCGCACTTCCTGTCTAACAATATGTTTGCCCCCACTACCTTTACATTCCCTCTATTGTCTTTTTGCTCGATGGTTCTGACTCCCCAAAGGGCAATTGCCAAAAAAATTTTCTGATAATTTATTACAACTAATATCAAACGAAACAAATATTACTTCATTAATATTTTATATAAGGTATAAAATTGCAGAATCCATAAAATAATATGATAAAAATTTACCTGTTATCCCATATACTATATTTAAAAGCTTTATCTCTTTGTATTTGAAGCATATAACATATACATTATAATAACATGACAACACTGCTAACGCAATAATTCGTTCTGTGAAACTTAATTGACAGCTAATTTGAAGCTATCTTCAATGGGACCAAATGTGAAAATCGTCCAATATGCTCAAGGTCAGTAGATATTTAATATCTATTATAATCTACTTAAATATCTACTGACCTTGCAATATGCTTTAGCCACAGAATAATATACAATCAGAATGTCCACTCTCAGATGCCGCCTTTGAAGTTTTTCAGCACGCGCGCCATGTTTTAGAAGGAAACACATCTATGATTTGTGAGGTTATGTAATTACTTATATTTATGTTTAATTATATTTTATGTTATTATATTTAACAATGTTAATGTAATTGTATAGTATGTCTATGATTGCCGTAAGTCAATTAAACCGGGTTAATTTTTCTATGTACACCACATAAACAACACTGGGTCCCTCTAAAACATGGCGGAACGTCTGCGCGAAAGAGATGCGCGTACTTAGTTTTCCATGGAGAGTGGGCATTCTGATTGTTTATTATTCTGTGCTTTAGCCATCGAGCAATAAGACAAAAGAGGGAATGTAAAGGTAGTGGGGGTAAACATATTGATAGACAGGAAGTGCTATTTTGAGAGGCCACTTTAAACAAAGAAAGAGAATCTCTTTCCTTGTTTAAGAAATCAAATTTAGTTGGGTTATGTTATTGTTGTTGTTATTGTTTGTCAAAACTGTCACATGAAAGCTTATTTATATTTTCTATTGAAGTTTTTTAACAATTGTTTAACATTTTAGACTATTATCGTTATTAATTAATTAAAACTTTATTGTGTTCTAGTGTTAAAAAAGTATTTTAATAAATAAATAGATAAATATATAATATAAAATAAATAAATAGATAAATTAGAACCCCTACACCACTGTACGAATATTGTCAAGTGTCATGAAATTTAAATTTGGCGCATTTGCATTTCCGGATATGTCCGCCAGAGGCCACTTTTTTGGTCTCCTTTTCATAACGATTAGATTCCCTCTTTTGTCTTATTGCTGGATGGCTTTAGCTCTCCTTTCTCATGGTACATATATAATTCATCTAATTTACATACCGAAGCACGTCAGAGATCGAAGTTGACATAGTTGCCAAAGAATAACAAAAACAAAATACTGACTCCATTTTAAATCAAATAGATCACATAATTATTGCAATTATTAATATTCACTGAAGTATTACCATCTCTTTAAAACGACTATTTAAATTCTTACGTGACTTTTTGAAATACCACCTGTTCCCCTGTTCGTCAAAAGAGTGAACATGTGAACAACGTATAAATAATGAAGTTGATGTTTGTTTTATTGTTTTGTTTTGTTTTGATTCAAAATTTCTTTATATTGCACAACAATGCCTAATCCCTAATATTTCTATTCCATAGAAAATTTCTATGAAAACGACTCTAACAAGGTGAGAGTGTAGAGTTCGTGTTCGTAGAGTAGAGTTATATAGTAGAGTGGAGGTAAAGGTGTGATCAGTGTGATGTCACACTTTGACTTTATAACTGTGGTGATGTGAATGTGAACTACTAAGAACTTGATTGTTCTTTATAGTTTTGTAATTAGGTGGTATTAGTATAGTATATTCAAAGTATTACCAAGTATTAGTGCCCAAAGCAATATGTCGTCTCCATGGGCAAAAATTGAGCAACCTGATCCAGTAGATCTGGAAGAAATCCTATCTGAAGAGGTAGCCAGACAACTGCAAATAAAAAAATACAAAAAAATGACCCAAATGAATAAGGAAGACTTAAAAACTGCAGTAGAATTACCTGACAGTCTGAAAACTGTGTTTGATAATATTTGTGATAGTGAAGAAACTTTGGTCAGGATGCGGAAAACCCATAATGATGACCAATCCCATAAAGTAAAATTAAATAAATGTACATTGCTTTACAATTGTGGAGAAAATTCTATTAATGCTGGTAAGTTGTAAATTACCACAGCCACCTAAAGCTTACAAGCCGTGAAGTGAGAAAATTGGCAACGTTGGAGGTAGTCCGATAGTGGTCCTATAGCCCTGTGTTTACTTATGAGATTATGCTAATTTTGTTTGTATTTCTTGTATAATTGGTGAATTATTCGATTAAAAAAAAAGGTATGTATTTTTTACGTATATTGTAATAATTGTATGAAGCATTAAAGAATTAGATATATATATATTATTCAGACAAATAATACGTACAAACTGTTAAATTCACAAATTGGCTTTAGTAATTACAAACCCCAAGTCGATGTTAATTTATTGGCACAGGGAGTAGTAATATGATATTCTAACATATTTTTTTAATTACAGATGCCGAGACACTGCAGTGTACCAAATTGCAAATCAAATTACGCAACTACTTTAAAGTATGAAAAGGCCCAAAGTACATTCTCTTTTCCCAAAAACGATCACCTTCGTACTCAGTGGGTTAGATCTATTAACCGTGAAGATTTCAGAGTAACTTCTAGTTCGGTAGTATGTAAAAAACATTTTGATGCAACGGATATTATTGAAAGTGAGTCATTCATTGATAAAAATGGTACGGTTCTTCAACGAAATTTGGTTTATCCCAAGTTGAAAGAGAATGCGATACCAAGAATTTTTGAAAACCAACCGTCATATTTATCTAACCCAAAACCACCAACAAGAAAAAATCCTGAAACTAGGCGAGCAGAAATAAGTCTCCGGGAAGAAAATAATATAAAAGAACTCGAAAACAAAGACCTTATCGTGGATTTCAAGGAACTTTTACAAAGTGTTAGTGAGAGGGTTGAGTTAAAAAACTGGCAAATAAAAGTTGTAGAAGAAAGGATTTGTTTTTATTATTAAATATTGACAATCAGTTTAGTGATGAGTGTATAAAAGTTATTTCAAACATTAACATTACGAAGGAATTACTTGTATCTGTTTATGTGAAGGACATCCAACTGTCACCTCATGATTTAAAATGTATTTTACCATTTGACTGTAAGTTATCGCGTTGGTCACAACTAGAAAATCTGCTGTCCAGGTATTCTTTTTTTTTTGAAAGTCCTATTGACAATAATTTTAAAATAACCAAAATATGTAGTGAAATTGACAGAGTCATAGAAAATACAGATGTAGATAAAATGAAGGGAGTTCTGGCTTTTGTGAAAAATCAGTTACTGTTACTAACAGCAAGTAGGGCAAAATATTCTCTACCAACAATTATTTTTGCTCTTACCATATATAATCAGTCAACATCATGTTATAATATTATTCAGCAGTACTTAAATTTGCCCACTAAAAGATATTTACAAATGATAACATCATCCTTTCATGTATCTCCTGATGATCAATTAGAAAATAATTATTTATCATATCTTGCTTCAAATCTGAATGATCGAGAAAAAATAGTCAATTTACTTGTAGATGAAATATATGTAAATCCTGGAGTTCATTATCACTCAAAACAAATTATGGTTTTGCTGCCAACAATGATAAACAATTAGCGAAAACTATTCTAACGTTAATGATTTCATCAGCATTTGCACATTTTAAAGAAGTGGTGCGTTTAGTACCTGTATGTAATATTGCTGGTAATGAACTCAAAGACATAGTTCTTGAATCAATTCAGTATATTCAGGACTGTGGATTTAAAGTATTGTGTGTAATTACCGACAACAATCGTTTAAATCAAAACATGTTTGGTCAGTTATCTCCAAATTTTTCCATATCTAATCCTAAGTTTAATAATGAGAATATTTATTTATTATATGATTTTGTACATATTTTTAAAAATATTAGGAATAATTGGCTTAATAAGAAAGACCCAGAAAAAACCTTTATTTTTCCAGATTTTAATAATCATTCAGTTCTTCGAAAGGCATTTTTTAAGGACTTACAAACATTGTACCAAATTGAGATAAACTTTTTAACCAAAAGAGCATATAAACTAAATCATAAATCTATTTATCCAAATAATTTTGAAAGACAAAAAGTGTCTTTGGTAGAAAATATTTTTCATGAAAGTACAATAGCTGCTTTACAGTCATGTAGTATTTATACAGACACAGCCTCATTTTTAGAAATTATTAGAAGTTGGTGGAACATAATTAATGTAAAAACTAAATTTAAAGGACAGGCAAAAAGGAATGATTTGGCTACCCCAATTTTTTCAGATAATGATTTCAAAGTAGTTTTTTTAAAAAAATTTGTGATGTGGCTAGATTCTTGGCATCAAATTCCTGAAGGCTCTTCACTTACAAATGATACATACCTTGCTCTTAAAAACAGCACATCAATTTTGATCAAAGTAATAGAGTATTCATTTAATCATTTAAATATAGAATTTATATTACCTGGCAAATTCCAAACGGATAATTTAGAAGAAAGGTTTGGTCGTTATAGGTACCTATCTGGCTGTAATTATAACATTTCAGTTACTCAAGTGATTGATTCAGAAAAAAAAATTCGAATACAGAATATTCTGAAATCGTCTGTTACTAGTGATTTAACACAATTAAAATTTCAGCCACCTGATGATCTAAATTGTGCAACACTTAATCAGTTCATAGAATGTTCAGAATTTACTTCTATTTTTAATAGTGATTATCTGCGTACATACAATTGTGAGGAATCAAGTCAAATATATATTAGCGGATATGCAGTTCATACTGTACAAAAAACTCTTAAATGCCTTACCTGTAGAGATCTGATTGTACAAAGTATAGGTGATAAGGTAAATGATGAATATTTTGATTATCTGCAACGAGGTGGTTTATCTGTTGCAACAAATGAAGTTCATTATATTTATTATCACTCGTGTGCTCTTTTTGAATACATAATTAAACATCCAGAAACTATGTCACTGTTTTTGTCTCATAAAAATCAAAAATATTTATTGGCTTCTTTAGCCCTCACGAGTTTGGAAAGTGACAATTTTTATATTGATTTTTCTAAAATTTGTGTTTGTGGAACAGCTGTTAGAGAATTATATTTTAAAATTTCTGTGATTTTCTCCAATACTTTGTTAAATAACTTCACAAAAAACAAGAATAATGAAATTATGACAAAGAAACTAACTAAAAGTTTATCTAAAAAGCGCAAGCTTTCAACTTTAAAAAAATAAATACCTGGAATTTCAATAACATTTTTTTAAGCCACTCTTAATAAATATAATATTCGCTCAAGGGATACTAGAATTCAATAAACTGCAAGTTGTTTACAAAAATATTAAAAGAATATTTTCTTTTTTTTTAACGTAAATTATGTAAATAATGTAAGCTGAATGCACTTGTATTACTTTTAAATTCTATTAATATTACACCTCATTGTATTCAATGTTTTGCAGTTTTAATAGATGTGATATATATATATATATATATATATATATATATATATATATATATATATATATATATATATATATATATATATATATATATATAATATATATATATATAATATATATATAATATATATATATATATATATATATATATATATATATATGTACCTTATCAAACTATTTTGTTCGATTTTTTTACTTAATTTTAACTTTATAGCGAATATTATGATGTTCCTCTTTTATTTATTATTTTGATGGGCTCTTTATAGTCGGACTACTTCTAACAGCTGATGCGGCGTTGCCATTTTTAGTTCACGGCTTGTAAGCTTTAGGTGGCTGTGAAATTACTTAATAATCTGTTAAGCCAGGATACTACTTTAAATGTTGCTGTAATCCTTTTCCTTTATTACTAGATTTCGTCAGTGATTCTGATAATGAAGAAGAAATTTTAGATGCTAATGAAAGAAAATTCTGGGATAGATTTGAAAATTTAGAACCCGAATTGGATTTAAAACTACAGTGTCTTAACAAAGTTCCACATAAAAGACATATGAATGAAGTGATGAGTGAAATACAAAGAGTTTGTAGATTGAAAATATTTCCACGTAAGCATTCACTGAAAACCAGTAAAACTATTGAATGCTGTCCAGAAAAGTTCACATACGCTATACTTTATAAAATGATAGAAAAACAACAACTTTTGAAAAACATTAATGGTATTATTGGTGAAGGTAAGTTTAGTATGACAAATTTCGATTTTGAAAAAACAATTTTATTCAAAATCCTTTATAAATATAAATCCTTTATAAATCAATCATCACTAATATAATAATCTTCAATAACACTATTGAATTTTCTCATATATGAAATTACTGTACACATTTTAACATAAAGAGTCATTTTTGAATTGTTAAACCATTGAATAACTGATCTTAAATCATCTTGCAATTTGACTGCATCTTTCTTATTAGAGATTGTTTTAAAAAGTGTAAAATCATCAGCATACATTAAGCTGTTACAAAATTCAATACAGTCTGGTAAGTCGTTAATAAATAAAATAAAGAGCAATGGCCCTAGTTTGCTCCCCTGTGGGACTCCTGACAATGACACATATTGGTGAGAAAAGCAATTACCTACTTTTACTGTATTCTTTCTACCTGACAAATAAGACTTTAATAAAAAAGCTTTTCTTGAGAAACCAACCTGTACCAGTTTATTTAAAAGAATACAGTGATTTACCTCATCAAATGCTTTTTCTCAATCAGTATACAGAATGTCTAACTATTCTCCTGCCTCAAGAGCCTTAGCAATATGTTCAGAGAGAACACAGAGATTAGTTACTGTTGATTTGTCTCTTACAAAACCATGCTGGAATTTGCTGATTTTACTTTTAACATGCTCATAATATATCATCATAAAGAATACTTTCAAAAATCTTGGCAATACTATTTAACAGGCTGATAGGCCTGTAGTTTTGAATGTCATTTTTTTTTATCTTTTTTATGTATTGGAGAAAATGTTGCCACTTTTAAAATATTCGGAAAATATTTCTGTTCAATCTACATATTAAACAAAAAATGCCAGAGGTTTAGCCAAGGGTTCAGCCATTGCCTTCAGGGCCTGTCGATTTTTTTGGGTTTAAGTTTTTTAATACTATTTACAACATCTAATTCTGTGATATATTTAAAGGTAAAAGAACCCCACTCAGTACTGTGAGAATGACAATGTGTGCAGTCAGATCTATCATACACTGATGCAAAATATTTAGCAAAGGCTCGCAAATATATTATATGGGACTAGCTTACCCAGCAAACTTCAAATGGCCTTAAAATTAATCAATATTTTGTAAAAAGTTAAAGTTTGATAAGAATTGAGCTAATACATGTGGCAAAAGCTATAATCTGACAAATGATTTTTAGGTAGGGAATCAATAATCCTTCATGCCCATTCAGATCCCGCATCCTTATTGGGTTCTAACTTGCCTAAAGAATGTGCCATAAAAGTCTATAAAACAATTCTATCTGACTTAAAAGAATGTGAAAAATTTGACGAATCAGATCATATATTTCCGCGCAGAAAAGGAGGACGAGCTTCTGAAAGGATTAGAAGTATTTGGGCTGAGAAGGAAATGATCAACCAGATTCTAATGCAAGAGGCTGTAATACCTTGCCCAAAAGTAGAAACACTTGGAAAATTTGGAGGACAAGTTTCCACAAGGAATATAAGTATTTGGGCTAAGAAGGAAATGACCAACCTGATGCTAATGCAAGAGGCTGGAATACCTTGCCCAAAAGTAGTAACACTTCGAAAAAATGTATTGGTGATGGAGTTTATTGGAAAAAACCGGATACCTGCTCCAACATTAAGGGATGCTAGAAAGTTGAAAGGCATTGATTGGAGAAATGCTTATGAACAGGTAATGTATTGCTATATATTGTAACATATAATTAATTTTAGCTTTAATTTAATCAATAACAATAAATTATAATATATCCATGGTTAACTATAAAAACCTTAAGTCAAAGTTTACAACTTTAGGAGAGCAAAAAAACTTCTACTACCTATATAATTTTTCTTTTTGATTTACTTAAATATTACTAAAAAACATACCAAAACATAGTTTTCATGAATCTGGGGTTTTGCCAGAACATTTGAAGAATATTTTCAACCCAAATTCATTAAAAATGTCCAATTTTTGACTATTATATTTTGACATTTAACGGTTTTGAAACTTGAAATTTGAAAAATTTTGTGTTGTTACTTAATTGTATTTTAAGTCTAACAATATTCTTTTAGGTGATTGAGTATATGAAAATTCTTTTTAACAAGGTTAATTTGGTACATGCAGATCTAACTGAAGATAATATCTTATGGTATGAAGACAAATGCTATTTTATTGATGTCAGTAAATGTGTAGAGAATAGCAATAAAAAATCAATATTATGTTTATATAGAGATTGTATCAATGTCACAGATGTAAGTAGTGGTAATTTTCCTCACTGTTTGTGGGAAAAAACTGGATAGTTTACACAAAAATAACATAATCACCAAAAATAATGTTTTTTTTTTAGTTTTTTTCCAAGAAAGATGTGGCCAGAAATATACCAGATTTGACCACACCAAGTGAGCTGTTTATTTATATAACAGGCTTTGATTTTCACGACAGGGTTGCTACAGATGTAAGTAGTGATAATCTTCCTCACTGTTTGTGGGACAAAAACTGGATAGTTTACACAAAAATAACATCACCGAAAATAATATAATGTTTTTTTTTTTAGTTTTTTTTCAAGAAAGATGTGGCCAAAAAGATACCAGATGTGGCCAGAAAGATACCAGATGTGCATGTGGCCACACCAAGTGAGCTGTTTATTTATATAACAGGCTTTGATTGTCACGACAGGGTTGCTCTTCCTGAAATAAAAGAATCAATAAAGTAACGTTAAAAGTGTCTTTAAATTTTATTGTTTGGCTGTGAAAGTGCTCTTGTAATTATTGTTCACCTAAAAAGCTATTTATTAATTTTATTATAATTTTGTTCAATATATTTTTGCATTTTTAATTTTTTAATTTTATGTATTTTATTTGACTTAGAATATTTCTATTAATATATATATATATATATATATATATATATATATATATATATATATATATATATATATATATATATATATAATATATATATAGCTGCACAACACAATAGAACTAGAGAGCTATACCAAATTACCAGACGTCTAACAAAAAGTGGGCCCAACTGTTCAAACGTCGTAAGATCCAAGACAGGAGAACTACTTACCACAACAAATGACCAAATAGAGAGATGGAAAGAGCATTTTCAGGAGATGCTAGGCACGCCCAGGGATAACGCAGATGAAATTGTCGAAAATCCACAGAATATAGACTTGCGTATATCTTGCGACGCCCCTTCCAAAACAGAGATAATAACAGCTATCAAATCTCTGAAAAATAACAAGTCTCCGGGAATCGATAACATTGCTGCCGAAATGCTTAAAACTGATCCGCATCTAACTGCTGAACTTCTGCTCCCCATAATCCGAGAGGTGTGGGAAACAAACCGCATTCCAGCGGGCTGGAAAAAAGGCATCATTACTAAGCTTCCAAAAAAGGGCAACCTCACACTATGCAAAAATTGGAGAGGAATAACCTTGCTTACCGCCATAAATAAAATCTTCACGACCATCATACTTAAAAGATTAACAAACAAGGTTGAATTTCGAGCTAATCAAGTAGGCTTTAGACCAGAATCCTCCTGCATAGACCACATTAATACTGTGAGGCTAATAATGGAACAATCGGTTGAATGGAACACACCCCTATACATGGTTTTTGTTGATTTCGAGCGTGCTTTTGACAGCTTATCTCATGATGCAATATGGAAAATTTTAGAGCTAAGAAACATCCCGCATAAAATAATTTCCATTATAAAGTTACTGTACACTGAAGCGAAATGCAGCGTGACACACAATGGGATCAACAGTGACGAATTTGACGTACTTACTGGAGTCAGACAGGGATGCGTGCTTTCTCCGTTTCTTTTTAACATAGCTCTAGACTATGTTCTCTCCAAACTAGACTCTGACACAAGAGGGATACAATGGACGTTAACCACACGCCTAAGCGATCTAGAATACGCCGACGATATCTGCCTGTTAGGACAAAGGTTCCAAGATGTGGCTGACCAATTGGAAACACTTTCACTGAAGCCAATAAAATAGGTTTGAAAATCAATATTGGTAAAACCAAATCCATGAGAATAAATGCAAGAAACAACACGCTATTCACCATTAATAACATGCAGATTGAAAATGTGGAAAACTTTACGTATCTTGGAAGTGTCATTACAGAAAGCGGAGGTACAGAAGACGATATTCGTATGAGGATACGAAAAGCGCAACAAGCTTTCAGCATGCTCAACCCTGTTTGGAGGTCTGGAGAATACACTACGAGGACAAAGATCCGCATATTCCAGTCAAATGTCATGTCTGTACTACTTTACGGATGTGAAACCTGGAAAGCGACAAAAACCCTTACAGACAAACTGCAGGTCTTTGTTAATAAATGTCTACGAAGAATTGTTCGTATTTTCTGGCCTAACATCATCAGAAACGAAGACTTACTACACCTGACCAAACAAAAGAGGGTAGTAAATGAAATAAAGTCCAGAAAGTGGGGTTGGATCGGTCACACACTCCGAAAAAATAACTCCAGTATTGCAAAGACTGCCCTAGAGTGGAACCCCCAAGGAAAACGAAAAAAAGGTCGCCCAGTACAAACTTGGAGAAGATCCATCATGGACGAGATAAGAAAACAAGGAAAGTCTTGGAATGAGGTGAAGGCCTTAGCGCAAAATAGAACCCGATGGCGCGTTTTCACTGAAGCTCTATGCTCCACTTAGGAGTTCAAGAACCTTATATATACTTATATATATATATATATATATATATATATATATATATATATAATATATATATATAAACCTAGAGCTAAGATTAACATTATTACTAAAATTGATATTAAAACTCACCAGTCTTCCGGGTTGAACCGCGTCGTAATCCATTTTGCCAAGCTTTCGCATCCTCTCTGATGCCTTCCTCAGGGCTTCCGAGGTGTCAGTCTCCCGAGCCTCCAGACACTACTACACTGTTCACTATTCACGGCAGTAGTGATCGTGACACACTCCGAAAGTTTAGCTGATGTAAATTCATTCGTATATCTATTGGTAATTTGTTTAAGAAACTTATGGCTGCATAATGTGTGCTACCTTCCAACAAAACAGAACGATGTTATGGAAGCAAAAAGTGATTGTCTCTGAATCTTGTTGAATAAACATGGTTAAATTGAAATTTATTAAATTCATAAATTTTGCTATTCAAATACAATATACACGAAAATATATACAGACCAGGAATTGTAAGAATATTGTTTTGTCTAAAGATGGCTCTACAAGAATCTCTAAATTTAATTTTATATATTATCCTAATAGCTCTTTTCTGAAGTACGAATATCTGCTCTAATTCAGAGGTACAATCGCAGACTTCAATGCCATATTTGGTTATTGAGTAAAAATAGGCAAAGTATACTGTTTTTAATATTGATGTATGAAAGAGGCGTGAAAGAATTTGCAATGCATAACATGCGCTACTTAATATGGATTTCAAATTAGAAATGTGGTTTGACCATTTACAATTACTGTCTAGAAGTACCTCCAGCAACTTCGTGCAGTCTGTTTTATCTATTGCTGCTTCTATAGTGGCTTGATGATTTAATAAATTATTTGACGTGAAAATCATATACTTTGATTTCTCTTCATTTAAAACTAATTTGTTGGATAAGAAATAACTGTTGATGGTATATCTGTGGATAGTATATCTGTGTAGTTTTATTTTGCAAATTTTGATCAGACGTTCCTGTGACTCGAATGTTGGTATCATCCGCATAATTGATGATGTTAACCCCAGTCAGTTAATTAGTTACCAAAGCTATATCATTAATAAATACTATAAAAAGTAGAGGACCCAATACACTACCCTGAGGGATACCATAATGGATATCCAATGTGTTTGATTCGTTTATAAGTTCATTAGATGTTATCTTTACTTTTTGTCTTCTATTCTCTAGGTTGTGCATTGTAATGGAATGAGCATTCCCAGTGTGTGTATTGCCATCACACAAATACTTCCCTTTTCTTTGAATATTTATGGAATCCTAACAACCCACTAAAAATAATAAACTTAGAGAGTACCTACTAACTTCGACAGCCTGCATAACAGAATATTTTGATTTATTAAGAATATATTAAGAACTACTTATTTTGCGTAATAATATAAGGTACACAAGAGAATACTAATAAAATAGATTGAAAATAGAATTGTTTCATTTATTTTATAAACCTATAAAAATATAAATAAATTTAATATCATAAATGGGTAAATCCTTGGGACATATAAAGCTTATTAAACTATTTTCTTTCTCCAATCAGGAACTTTCAACTTTGGTAACTTCTTTAATGGAATAACTTCTTCAAAAGGATATATAGTGTCGTCTTGAACTCTGTTTCTCCATTGTTCTGTCGGTCTCAGTAGTCTATGTGGATCTCTTTTGGCGATTTGACTTGATTTACTTCTTACTGGTTGGAGAGTTTCTAGACGCTTCTTATGTTGTCTCATTTTTAGGATATAGTAGTCATCTTGAATTTGATATTGCTTGATCAATTTGTTAGCTTCTGCAGCTTTTCTTTTCCTTTCGTTCTCTTCTTGTTCCTTTTTTCTTTTTGTGTATTCCTGGTCTAATAAATTTTTTGCAGCTTTCCATTCACCTACTATTCTTTTCATTTCTTCGTTTCTTCTTTTTCTCATCTCCGCAATCTCTCTTCTCTTTTGTTGTTCTATCTCTTCTATACTTAGATTGTTCCTCAACATTTGTTCTTTTTCTAATTTCCACTGCACGAGTTTCTCTCTCTGATTTTCCGATTTGTTAACTAAAACAGGTTTTTTAACAATATCGTTTAGCAGATTCGCCACTGTACTTGGTTTCGTTTTGGCTTTTGATTCCTGCCACCTTTTCAAAGCTTCCTTTTTGTTTTTCTTAAGAATCATATATTGTTTGTACCACGCTTCGTGTTCTTGAACATCTTGTATACTTTTATCTGGTAGTACCTCGTTTATTTTTTGGGAAACTATTGATACATCCTTAAATTTGTTTCTAAACTTAATGAAGAGCTGATGGTCGTCTTTATCCCAGCCGTTTTCATGACCCCCACTTCTTTTGATGAAATCTATGAACTCTCTCATTTCTACACACTTCAAATTACTATATGGTTTTTTATAATCGGTTTTTATACTTAAAGGTTCTTTAATATTAACCGGTTCCGACCATTCAAACATTTTTTCTTTGTAATAATCTAGATCTTGATTTATTTCTATGTACTCTATGTCTAAAGCTTTTAGTTTCATTTTACTATTTATCAACAAACTCTGTATCAAATCTTGGATCATAATCATCTCGTGTTTAAACTTTTTCAAGTCAGTGTTACTTACAGAACTGTTACACTTTAAAAACTCAATTTTTGACTGTAAATTGCCTGCAATTTCATCTACGTTACTACGTATAGTTTCTTTGTCTCTTCGTCTGTCTTGCTCTTGTTCTACGTACATATCTGGAACGTATTTATAACTTGGAAACTTCCTGAGGTGATCTATAGTTGTAGATATAGATTTCTCCAAACATTGTTGAAAACAAACTAATTTATTTAATTCAGTTGTGGATATTAAAGGCATTGTGGGTTAAAAATCAATTTTGTTTGTATTCGTTCGTTGTAAATCTCCATGGTTTCGAAATCAAACTTTATTAGAGGTGTACAGTTATTTTTAAGTTGAAATATATTTCACGGTGATTCACTTTCCAATAAATGAATTTCCATGCAATATTATTAATCTAAATTTTTGATTGCAGAGAGATATTTTTTTAATATTGACGGTTTAATAAATACGCTAAGTAGAAGTAGTGAAATTTTGTTTCTAAATATATTATATCTACTTTAAAACTGAGAACAGTATTTGGAAATAAAATTTAGTTTTATTTATAAAAAATATATTTTTTTACCACTTTTAGCTTTCATGTTTGCGCCATCTCTCGCATGAAAGTTGCACTATGTTACAATAAAATCAAAACCTTGTAAATTTTCCGATAGGTAGCGATAGATTGAATTGTCATGACCACAATGACAGTGACAGATGATGATCAGATGACGATAATGTTTTTAAAATGAATTGAAAATTAGTTCTTGGTTATTTTTAATAATTTATTATTTATATTATTCGCATTTATCTAAATAGTAGATTGTATAAATAATACTGAGATAACCTAGTTATTTACCAAACAGATTTTACAAATAATCAATTGTTTAAGTAAGAGAAACAGGTGGTTGTATTTGCCAGCTCACTGAATATGTATTTTGAAGCTGATCCTGAACTAAAAAGAAACGTTATTCACAACCTCAACGAAGAATATGGCAAAGCTTTATTAGATGTTAACAAATGCCTAGAACTTCGGAATAAATTATTGCAAGAAAGAAAAGAAATAGAAGAACAGGTATGTCTACAATTTCTATAAAATCTTTAATTTAATAAATTTTTCGTTGTTATTTTCAGTTAGATATTTCCAATTCAAAGTTTACAATAGGTGCCAGCATAAAAGAAGGCGAATTGTTTGTTCAAAATACTGCAGATGTAGTAAATAGGTCAAAAGAAGCGGTGTCAAAAATAAGGACTGACTTGGAAGAAATTCAAGAAGTTAGAACAGAAATAAAGAATTATTTTGATAAATTAAACGCCTTGCAATGTACTCTACAATATTTTAAAGTTGTTCAACATATAGAATGTTTAAGGTAAAGTAAACACTCATATCTAAATTATTATCCTAATCTATTACAATGCACAAATCATGTATTACAATGAAAAATAAGAGACAGAGCAATAACACAAACAAAAATTAAGTGTACACAAATACAAAACAAGCAAATTCATTAAGTAAAAGGAATGAAAATTCCTTTTACTTATAAACACACACTTATAAAAATGTGGTTCCACTCTGAACAGAATTTGTAATATATTCTTGTTTGTTGTTTAATAATAATACCTAATATATATTGTTTCTTTTGTTTTATTGACAAGTGTAGGTTTTTAATAACAAATTCTTACTGCTTTTAGTGATGAGTTACAAATAGAAGTAGGAAAGAAAGATGATGAAAGGTGTGTAACAATTTTTGCAAACTTAACAGAAATAAGTAGGAACCTAGCAGATTTTTGTGGGCAGAATTTAAGGAATTACCTAAAAGATAATATTTATTTTTGGCATAATATATTAAAAGAGAAACTTGCAAAGTAAGTATTTTTGATTATATACTATAAAAAATCTGTTTGTTAGAGAGGATATTGAATATTGCAAATTGTTATATGGGATCTCTTATCATTTTAGTTAACTTTATTAACTTATGAGTTAATTTAATTTGTTAACTTATCATCTTATTATTTTTAGAGATTTTGATGAAGTTCTGAAACTGATTAAATGGCCATTTGTAAGTGCAAATTTCTCTTTGGTTCTACCATTACCAACACACATTCAGAAATTACAGACTGTTTGTGAGTTTTTGCTTCAGATAGAAATTCCTAGTGAGAGCAGTGTTCCTGTGGTAACTACTGCCTTATTGTCAAATTTCCAACCCCTAAGTCTACCTATACATTTATTAGTACAGCCATTGAGGAAACGGTTTATATATCATTTTTATGGAGCAAGACAAACGAATAGGGTTGATAAACCAGAATGGTGAGTTAATGTATGGTTTTCGAAGGAGATGCAGACTTATTTTATAGTCAAAAAAGATTTTGGTTTTTAAAAAACAATTTTAAGATTTTAGAACCATTGTAATGATATCAAACTTTTTCTTTTTTAAGTAAGTAAGAAGAAGAAAGTATATACATGCATACACCTTCAAAATAAATTTTTTTAATGAAAATTTTAGATTTCAATAAAAAATTTATGTAAGCCGTACTTATTGAATCTTTTCTTATTATTATGTACCTGCAAACCCTGAAAACTATATTTAGATCAATTGAATTTAGTTCAGAATTTGATAGCTTTCATGAAGCTTACAACTGTTTTTGTGTTTTTACTGGTAATTTCTTAATCTTGGGATTCAACTGTACATAATATTTCCCTAAATAGTAACATTTGTCTAAATTATATAAAAATCAGTTTATTTTTAACTGATCTAAAAAATTGTTTTAGGTATTTAACTCAAATTCTTACATGGATTAGAGATCATCAAGACTTTGTAGAGAAGTATATACAGCCAATAATTGATAAATTGGGATTGTTACATATTGAAGCTAAGGTAAATACTCCAATAACTTTTAAGGGTAACATTTTTAGAGCAATTGTTAAAATATATGATACTAATATTTCTTAAAAACAACATTTTGGCTTGCATTTAATCAATCAGATCCGATTTTGCTTCAAAATATTTTTACTTAGAAAAACTATAATTGAATTAGTTTGTCTTTTTATTTCTTAGATCAGCTAAAAAATAAATAAATTCATCAAAACCCACAAACCAAACTTATCACCTAAAAATGGTAATTTTACTTTAAAAAAGTCCCAGAATAATATTTCTGTATATTTCTGTAATAACTGAAAGTACTTTATTGCTTTTCAAAATATGTGCCACCAAGATTGATACACTTTTGAATATGTTCAAACCAATTTGTAAGACAGTTATTCCAGTCTTCAGTTGACACTTGCAAAATCGCTGTGATAAGGACATCAATGGCTTCTTCTGGCGACTGGAATTGCTTCCCATGCATTGAATTTATGATCTTTGGGAAAGTGAAGAAGTCATTGGGACTTAGGTTGGGCCTATAAGGTGGATGGCTTAACAATTCGATGTTTTGAAGCTCCAAAAACTTTATTTCTGATGTAGGATGATTCAATGTTGTGTGCTGCATTGTGGGAGTTTCGCTATAACTTCTGGTGAACAAAAATATTATATACCAATCAGAAGTAACCATTCTTAGATTTTCAAAGGCAATTGTTGCCGCATGACCAGATTGTAACACAAAAGTTGCAACCATTTTGTTTGACACACTTGAAGAATGGATCACTTTTGTTGGTTCTTCCTCATTGTGAAACACCCACACAGCAGATTGGCGTTTATTTCCCGATTTGTAGGAGTAAATCCAAGATTCGTCACCACTAACAATACTCTAAAGGTTTTTTATCTTTGTTGTTTCAATGTTTTTCGACACCAATTGATGCAAACCTCTTCTGTGAGCAAATGAGGGATCCAACGGAAACCAACTTCGTAACACCTAGTTCTTCATGTAGGATCTTTTGCATCGAGGTCTTTGAAATGTTATCTTCCGGTAGGTCTAAAAAGACAAGCCTCATATTTATGGGTGTATAATGTTGATCTTACATAGTGTTTAATTTCCCAACATGGTTTCAGCTAGAATTCATCAGGGGATTGGTTCAAATCGCAGTGGAAAAACTGTTTTCAGACCTACCAAATTTGCAGTTTGATGATTTCACATTTTCCCATTCAATAGATGAAGCTCTAGGTTTTGATAAGGAGTTGAGGGAAACATATGAGTATCCTGCCAATCAGCCAAGTATTTTGGTGGTCCTGACACAGGCACAAGTCTTTATTAAATGGTTAGCTATGGAGAAAAAGTGTAAGTGTTTTAATGTTATATTTTATAAAATGTTTTTGGGGCATTTTGTCATGCAATTTTCTTTTTTTTTTGTAGATGCCACTGAAAAGATGGATGCTATGTTACCACCAAACTCCATCGAAGCTTTTGATCCTCTCACATCAGATGTAGAGGACTTAAAGATCACCACGTGTGCAGACGCGTTCATCACTCTCCTACAAACCATCACAGAACGTTATGAGTCGTTGTATCAACCAGGCCACAGATTACAGTTCTTGGATTTGCAACTGGAACTGCTGGACGATTTCAGAGTGAGATTGCTGCAGCTAGTCAATGCCGAAGAAGGTGATATTATAGAGTCCAGAATACCTGCTATTGCCAATAGTATTTATTATATTGAGAATGTATTGATCGACTGGGGAACTACTGTAGTGAGTAACTAATATTTTTTTTCTTGTAAATATGCATTGTAAATATTTACTACGGAATTTTTCAGCATTACTTAGGACTGTACCGGTATAAAAGCCAGCTAGAAATCGACAAACAACCATCATCACCTGCTTTATCAGATTTTGATGATGACCCAACCTGTGATAAAACCGATACAGTCTTTGCAGAAACATTGTCTCTCTACACACATATGCGTAAAGATCTTCTGCACACTCTTGCAGAAACTGTTATAGCTGAGGTGAAGCTCAGAAGCAAGTCATATCGATGTGAAAGGTACATTTAACATTTTGCAATATTAAAACATAACTTTTTTGTTAATGCCAGAAGAAAATAACGTTCATTTATTTTATATTTAATTAATATTTTACACTGTCTTTATTGTAAATCTTGAACATTATTTTTGTTATTATTTTTATTTCTTTTTAGTTGGCTGATAATGAAAGCAGAGAAAGAATTTCGCAGCCTCTCCTTAACGCCTACAGCATGCCCGATGTTTGAGATTCTCTCCAAGCGCCTCCACCAGCTGCAAAAGAGCCTTCAAAGCCAGATCTTTGTGGCGGTATGGAGATCAATAGCCCAACAGCTAGATTCTTATCTCTTCGAAGATTTGGTTCTGGACAATCGGTTCAGTGTTGGTGGTGCTCTTCAATTCAAATTTGATATCACAAGGAATTTGATTCCGTTATTTTTGCAGTTCAGCGAAAGGCCACAGAACTATTTTACTCAGTAAGTAACATAATTGTAATAAAGAATTCCTTTGCCTTAATTTATTTGCTGTAAGGTATCTTCTTTTTTGGGTGCCGTGTCCGTACTAAGACGTTGGCCGTCATCATGTTTACAATTTCCTGAAACCTTTCTCTGTCGGCTACTGCGCGAAATAATTCTTCTACTGTGCAACCACACCATTGTTTAATATTACGCAGCCATGAAAGTTTCTTTCGACCAATCCATCTCTTTCCTTCCACTTTTCCTTGTATTATGAGGCGAAGTAGATGGGATTTAGGTCCTTTAATTATATGGCCGAAGTATTCTGTTTTTCTCCTCTTTATGGTGTTTTTGAGCAGATGTTCTGAATTGATCATTTGAAGAACATCTTCATTGGAAGTCTGCGAAACCCACAATATCTTTAGGATTCGTCTATAGCACCACAATTCGAAACTTGTTTAGCATTGTGGTTTTTAACGTCCATGTTTCACAACCATACACATAACATTTCAGGAACTTCTTACGAATATTCATTGACAGGTTTCTGTTGCATAAAACTGGTTTCCAGGTCATAAAAGCCTTACGTGATATTTCAATCCTGGTTATTATCTCTTCATCAGAGTCACAATTTACATTTAACCAGCTGCCAAGGTATTTGAAATGATTTACCCTTTCGATCTCTTCTCCATTAAGAGAAATCAGACCTTGATCTAAATTGATCTTTCCAACTGCTGCCATCCACTTTGTCTTTGAAATGTTAATTTTAAGGCCTCTCCGATAGCTTGCTTCACTGACTAGATTTAGTAATGTTTGGAGATCTTGTAAATTTTCTGCAAGAATGGCTGTATCGTCAGCGTATCTAATATTGTTGATTACTTCTCCACCTAGTCTTACTCCCTCTTGTCTGTCATCCAGAGCCTCCCCAAAAGATTTCTTCAGAGTACAGATTAAAAAGAGTGGGTGACAAAACACAACCCTGCCGTACTGCACGTTTGATGGATAATTTTTCAGTCTGACTGTCTCCAATTTGGATAGAGGCTACTTGATTGTAATATAAGTATTTCAGCAGTCTTATATCATAGTGGTCAAGTCCTGCTGTCCGTAGGCAATCGAAAAGTGTATCGTGTTGTACTCTGTCGAACGCCTTCTCGAAGTCGATGAAACAAACATAAACATTCTTTCGGAATTCACAACTTTTTTGTAATAGAACGCGCATACAGAATAGTGCCTCTCTAGTTCCTAGACCGTTTCTAAATCCAAATTGCTTATTACCCATCCTACTTTCGCATAGAAGGAATACTCGGTTTTGTATAATTCATAAGAGTATCTTCAGTGTGTGACTCATCAAACTGATTAGTCTAAAATCGCTGCATTTGGTGGGCCTGCTTTTCTTTGGTAATTTTATAAACAGTGACTCTAACCAATCATCTGGTATTTTGCCTTAGTTGTAAATTTTGTTGAAGAAAGTGGTTAAGCAGGCAATGCTTTCCTCATCCAAAAGTTTAAGTAGCTTAGCAGGGATTTGATCTGGTCCAGGTGCTTTATTGTTTTTGGCTTGCTGTATTGCCTTTTTGACTTCCGAATTCAGTATGCTGGGACCTCTGTCTAACTGATTGTCACAGGCAGTATTTGGAGCATTTTCTCTAGAAGCATCGTCAAAAAGGTCAGTGATGTATCTTTTCCATTTTTTGCACTGTTGTTCGTGATCACAAATTTTTCCGTCTGCGCTTTTAAGTATGTGAGCATTTTTCTGTTTTCCAATTCCGGCAGTATATTTAAGTTTCTTGTGGAGGTTGAAACTGTCAAGTTTTTTTTAGGTCTTCTATTTCTTTACATAAATTCTCAAGCCAGGATTCTTTGGCTTGCTTAATTTTTCACGGTATTTAAACGTTTATTGATTTCACGGTATTCGATAATATTTATATGTTTGTGTTGCCGTCGAACTTCCATTAGGTATCTTTCTCTAACGGTAGGTAATGTCTGCGATCAACGACATCATCACAAATTACGGCGATGTAACTGGCAACAACGCCATTGTTTGGGTAGCGATTTTATTCTCTATTGTATTGTTATTGTATCTATTGTATGTTATTTATTTGTATCTGTAATTAAAACAGATGATTAAACAAACGATAATAATACTTTGAAGGTTGTGACAAGAGGAAGGAAACAAATGAAATTGGATGATACAGTATATGAATTTTATTTCAAAAACGAATTACCATCTATAAAAAAAATTGCTTCTTCTCTTATAATTTAAAAATAACATCAGATTGGGCAGCTCTACTAGAACCCCAAAAAGGAAGTCCATATCGAAGATGAGATTGGAACAAAGAAAAATATATTATTTTGGAAGAACCTAAATTGATTTCCTTCGAAACAGATCTTATTGCATAACACGCTGAGGCTAGTTTCTTACCTAACAAATCGATATGAAGGGACCATTTATAAGGTTGCTGTCTATAAAAATACCAAGAAATTTTATAAAATCAACGATACTGATCTGTGGCTGTTATTAAGAGCAAATGTTAAGAGCTCCTTTATATGATAATGCTCCACATTAAAAGAGAATAAATTAGAGTTGGACCAGGCTTTTATAGGAAGTATATCACAAGTTCAGAAGTACTAGTTGCACGAAGAGTTGCAATATTAGAGTTTCTCCAGGTGATACATTATTATCACTAGCAAAAAGAAAAGCTTTTCCATCGATTTTTAAATTAGTAATGTCATTTATAAAGATAAGAAAAGATAGAGAACCAACTTCTTTACCCTGTGTTACTTCATATACAATATTTTTGTAACCAGAGTCAGTATCATTATTTGCTCTAATTAGTTGTTTTCTTTCCAAATTGACGCACCATTTTTTCGCATCGATCGCTTCAGTTTTTGCCTATCCCCTCTCTTAAAGTCTTATAAAGAATAGTTAACGGGTTCTATGAGAACATAATTAAAATTGTATTTCATTTTTAGAGTCATCGAGTCTTGCAATTTACTCAATTTGAGTAAAGGAAGTGCCTTATTGTTGCGGGAAACTCTACTAGCCTTGGAAGGAGCTACCGGTATTGAAGACACAAGAGGGAAAACGTTGAAAGAGATAGGCGTCAGTTATTACACACCGAAAATGGCTGTTAGGATATTAAACCAAAGGGCTGATATAACTGTCAATAGAATAGTCATAGATTAGGTACCAAATAAGTCAACAGTATAAATAAGTCAACAGATTTTGTGAAATTTTTCTTTTATAAGAAAAAATGTAACAAATAAAGAAAAATTTTACAAAAAGAATGGACTTTGCTGTCCAATGGAATATTTTTGTTAAATAACAACTGTAGATAAAATATTTGCTGGACAAAGTATGATATTAAATAAGAGTTGGTATTTTTTGTATTTATTGTAATAAATTAAACGTTTTTGTTAATTAATTTTGTTATTTAAACTGTTTTTATGTAACTATTTTATTAATAAACTCATAAAGTAATCATATTTCATTTGTCTACTATTCGTGGATACCAATAGGACGCTATGTAGATAAGGTAAGGGATTATATTTGAGGACCCTGGAAGTCTAAGCAGAAGGCCAACTATCTTTATAAAAAAACGGTCTATTATAAAAACTGCAAAATCAATATTAGTAAAACCAAGTCCATGAGAATAAATGCAAGGAACAACACGCTATTTACTATCGACAATATGCAGATTGAAAATGTGGAAAACTTTACGTATCTTGGAAGTGTCATAACAGAAAACGGAGGTACAGAAGACGATATTCGTATGAGGATATGAAAAGCCCAACAAACTTTCAACACGCTCAAACCTGTTTGGAGATCTGGAGAGTATACTACAAGGACAAAGATCCGAATATTCCGATCAAATGTCATGTCTGTTCTACTCTACGGATGTGCAACCTGGAAAGTGACAAACACCCTCACAGACAAACTGCAGGTCTGTTAACAAATGTCTACGAAGAATTTTCCGTATATTCTGGACTAACATCATCAGAAACGAAGATCTGCTACACCTGACCGAACAAAAGAGGGTACAAACTGAAATTAAGTGCAGAAAGTGGGGTTCGATCGGTCACACACTCCGAAAAAATAGTTCCAGTATCGCAAAGACTGCCCTAGAGTGGAATCTCCAAGGGAAAAGAAAAAGAGGTCGCCCAGTACAAACTTGGAGAAGATCCATCATGGACGAGATAAGAGGCCAAGGAAAGTCTTGGAATGTGGTGAAGGCCTTAGCGCAAAATAGAACCCGATGGCGCGTTTTCATGATATATATATATATATATATATATATATATATATATATATACATATATATATATATATATATATATATATATATATATATATATATATATATATATAGAGTGTGTATAACGACGCTAAGAATACAATTCTTTGGAGGGTAACTTTCGGGAAAGCGTCAAAACAAGGATCAGCTAGAGATGGTATAAGCCAGCTTGGTGTAGAACTTTATTCTATATGTGAAATTTTCGGTGATATGTTGTCACCTTCATCAGCACCTAAATGGAAAACCTATTATAGTACAGTGGTGGAAATCAACATTTAAAAACCTACATTGAAAATGTTCAGTTGGTCCTAGTTGTAAAAAACACTGTCACAATTTTAGACTTTTTGTAGTGTTTGTATTTGAAAAACTACCCTGTTGTTGTAATGTTTTTATTCAAAATTTTAAATGTATTTTTTAATATTTTTAACATGTTTGTGACAGTGTTTTTTACAACTAGGACCAACTGAACATTTTCAATGTAGGTTTTTAAATGTTGATTTCCACCACTGTACTATAATAGGTTTTCCATTTAGGTGCTGATGAAGGTGACAACATATCACCGAAAATTTCACATATAGAATAAAGTTCTACACCAAGCTGGCTTATACCATCTCTAGCTGATCCTTGTTTTGACGCTTTCCCGAAAGTTACCCTCCAAAGAATTATATATATATATATATATATATATATATATATATATATATATATATATATATCTTAGAAAGGGCTTTAGTGACTATGTGAGTAATATATACGGATATCTTGGGTTTAGTAGTCAATATTGGCCTTTAAGTAAAACTTTTTAGGTTTGTTAAGCTTTCGAGTTTATTGTACTCTTTTTCAAAACGTACTAAAAATTAACATAAAAAATTACATCAGAAAAATGAAGTATCTTCAATAGGCTTACCCTTGTGAGGATTGTGTTTTAAAATTAGCAAAATTTTCTCAAAACTCCCAAAAAATTCCTGGTCTCACTTAACGATTCCTTTGAAAAATGTACATTTCCATGGTGGTTAAAGACAGCCATTATTATTCCTCTTTATAACGGTGGTGAAAAATCTAATGCCTGCAACTATAGACCCATTGCCTTACTACCGGTACTATTCAAAATTATTGAGAGACTTATACGAGACCACGACTTGGGTCCTTTTTCGTTGAAAACAACCTTTTATCACAAAGTCCGTTCGGCTTTTTGCCTAATAAATGCATTAGTGATGCTATGTTTTCTGTCTTACATGAGGTTTACCAAGCCCTAAATAATAATCTGTACAGCACTGTTTTTTTGTGACTATGCCAAAGTTTTTAATTATGTAAATCACGACATTTTGAACAAAAAAAAATTTATTTGTAGGGAATTTGAGTATTTTTCTTTGTTCGGGTCTCATCCCGGATATGGTCTTCATTTTTTGAATTCTAGACAGCTGCCTAATCTGATGTTATTTTTAAATTACAAAAAAGAGCAATACTCTTTATATATTGCTAACCCCGAGTTACTGCTCCCGCCACTATTCCTCAAAGATCCGCCCCAGGCTCACCTGGGCGACCTCGTGCACCGTTCCCGGGAAGAGCCCCTCAACCAGTATAACTACGCCATCGGCGTAAACTTGCGCATATTTACCTGTTTCAGACACTCGCTGGAGAAGGCCGTCAACCATCAACAAGATTCCTCCTTGAGGGCAACTACAAGATGCCAACACTCTAACGCAACAACCGTTTCGGAACGACGCTATCTGCCTCTGAGAAAGCTAAGCAAGCTGCAGCCAACCTATATCTTTTCAAAGAATCTAAAATAGCGCAACTAAAGGCGCCCTCAAAATTCATAAAGATACCAGGGTATATTGCTTCCGATCTAGAACCTGCTCCACCCTGTAGACAAGGTGATGTAGAGTCGTCTCACAACACTACTCGGCCTGGTAAGATATTAACGTGCATGCAAAGGACCACCCCTAAGTAATCCATCACATGAACCGGTTCACCAGTCTCTATAGAGCCTTTAGAAAGAAAGATGAGAGAGTCATTGGTCGGAACGATTTAGAAAGAGTAAAATCGGTTTTACAGGGTTATATTCTAAATGGGGTTGACGAGTCGTTTTAATTTTTACTAGTAATAGCATCTTCGCCTTTATCGAAGAAAAACACAATTTTTTTGGAATTCCTAATTTATTCATAACGTTGTAAAAACTTGGTCTTATTCTGCTTTAAAATCGACAAAAAGATATATTTATATTAAACTATTGAGCTTTTTCGAGAATTTTTCCTAGTGATCTGGTTAACCCTCTACCGCATGGAAATCCATATATGGATTCGGTAGTTTACTATTTTTTTGTAAGTTTAAAGTTCAGCACATACGCAGGCATAGCATAACGTGAGCCCATCGAGCAAAAAGACAAAAGAGAGAATCTAATCGTTATGAAAAGGAGACCAAAAAAGTGACCTCTGATGGCGAACATATCCAGAAATGCGAATGCTCCAAATTGAAATTTTCCGACACTTATTAACAGTAGCTATATAATATTTTTCAGATTGTGTTTTAGACGAGAAACTTTAAATAAATATTATCGATAGCAGTCTAAAATGTGACACAATTGTTAAGAAACTTTAATATAAATAAGATTTCATGTGACATTTGGGACAAACAATAACATAACCCAACTAAATTTGATTTCTTAAACAAGGAAATACTCTCTTTCCTTGTTTAATGTCATTAATGTGGCCTCTAAAGATCGCACTTCCTGTCTAACAATATTTTTGCCCCCACTACCTTTACATTCCCTCTTTTGTCTTATTACTCGATGCGTGAACCGTACATTTGTTTGGAAACCTCTATATATTTTTAAAATTTCGCAACTCTGCTAGACAAATCAACTCAATCATTTTAGTTACAACGTGCTGTGCATTGCGATTTTTTAGAATAAGTGAAAAATTTATCTTCAAACATCGGCGTTTTACAAGTAAGTAATCAATTTTTCTTAATATTTCATGTCTAATTGGTGTTTGTTCTTTATAAGTCAGATGATATTTAGTGATTTACTTGGGTTTGTCAGAGAAAACAACATTTAGAGATCATCCATATATGGCTTCTTATGCATTATCCTAAAAATATACAGATTTTATCGAAGCCATATATGGCTTTGTATGAATTTGAAGAGTAATTTATGTAGATATTATTTGTTTTCAGAAATGGACCCCCAAAGCTTTTATCGCAATTCTAAATATGTGAATACTATTCCCAGCAATGGAGGGTTAAGCGACGGTGATGACCAAAATCAGACGAAGAATATTGACCTTCTTCGTCTAAAAAACAACGTTTTCAGTCCGTAGTAGTATCTGAAACTGATTATTATGATATAGAGACATCTGATGCCGAATCAGAAGTTGACGATGTAAGGGCAACTACCTCAATAGGACTCAAACCAGCAGACAAAAATAAATCAATATCTACATCTAAAAACAAGAAAGAGAAAATATTATGGAAGGAATCAAAATTAAAGTGTTTATGAAAATGATTATGCTTTCTTGGGAGAATCTGAATGGCCAGAATGCATGCACAGATTGGAGAGTCCTATAGACTTTTTTAAATTCTTATTTAATGACGACTTATTGAAATTAATAGTTAATGAGTCAAATTGAAAATCAGTGCAAGATAACGTCAACAAACCCGGCAACATTACGAAGTATGAAATTGAACAATTTATTGGAATCAGCGTATTTATATTAATTTTAAAATTACCTTCTAGTAGACTCTACTGGAACTCACGTTTAGGCAACGACTTGTATACGAAACTATGAGTTGTAATAGGTGGGAAGAGATTAAAAAATATTTACATTTCAATGTCAAAAATAAGTTTATACGAGCTGGTTTACCAGGCCGCGATAAACTTTTTAAAATAAGA